GTAAAACCTTAGGCCTTTCAACAACCGTGAAATGGTCAATAACCAGAGTTGGCACAGCATTCTTTAAAAAGTGAGCGTCCATTGCGAAACGCGACGGAAGAGCTGCGTATCATGACAGTGGTTGCTCACGGTTATGAATAACAGAAAAGCAGAGCAGTGGTTACTGTGAACGATATCAGGAAATGAAAACAATACAGTACAGTACAGTACCACGTGCGCATCTGAAAAGGTTCAGGTCGAAAAAGTCATGCAAAAAAATTTTACGTTCATATCGCCACTTACACAAAAGGGAGATTACGTTTATCATTCGTATTATTATGAAATGACTCATCTTGTGAGCCAAATGGTGAAAGTTTCATACCGGTTTCTGTTCGTCTGAATTCTTCAGAATATTCACCAAAGTCCACCTCTGTGTTTTCCGGAATCTCAGGCAGCGTGCCCGTGAGATAAATGTTAGCTTTGAAGTAGCCTTGTGGATCTCGGCCAAAGAAATTCTGTTGAATCGTCAACGTGTATCGATCGGATATATGTACCGCAGCAGTAGCGTTGAACACCCCCCCTAAATAAATGTGTCGTGACACGTCTGTCATCGCATTGTCGTGCCATCGGTGCAAACCTGTCAATTCGAATCCGTTGTAAACTGAGTTGCTGGTTGTCTTGCCGAACAGCCACCCCATGACACCGCCGATCGTGCTCAGCAGCAGAAGCGACCTGCCGACATTCGGTGACAACGGAGACAGTGCCGTGTAAGCCCGACCGTCGGCGATTACCGCGTACGTGTGCAGGTCGACGTCCCGAAGACTAGTGTTGTTTATTTTTCCCGACAGTTTGCCGTTTATACGCTGAGGTTCGTCTGTGAGAAACGTGTCAACAAGAGGTTATTGCGTTCAAATGAACATTCGTACCGTTTCTGAGACAGACTTGTCCGTTACCAATGTATCCCACATCGCAACGACAACAGTATCCCCTTTCGTAATTGTCACACAGTGCGTTCTGATGGCAAGTATGATGTGTGGCACAAAAGTCCAAGTTTCGCGCTTCCGTCGTCGCCGTAGGGCTTTCCTCAATCACCTCCGCCTTCGGATCGTTGACACCTAAACCGTGACGTTTGCAAGAACGAGTTTCGCATAGGTTGTAAATCAGAACAGACCTTGGGGACACTGGCACGTCTTACATTGGCCATTCATGACCAGGGAGCAATGCGATGGACAGTTGTCTCTGTACGGGTCGTCGGGACAAGGCATCGCCGGTTGCAACATCGTTTGATGTTCTTCAACGCTCATATTTTCTACAAAGAAAAGCTTTTCAAGGACTGATAACACAGGCAATCGTTGATTATAATTCCATTAATGACTGCTAAATGAAAATTTTACTGCTTGATCCTTTATGAATGCAATTTTTTAGCGTTCGCATGAAAAATAAAACTAGACACTCACAGGGCGTACGAAAAATTGAAGAAATGTCACAACATGACAGGTTTCTGCGTCTTCATTCAAGAATTGATAAACTCTATGAGCGAAAATCGCCTAACACTTATTCAATATAAATCTGTAGACTGCAGTTTCACTCGTGCAAGGCCTGTAAGCAGAACCTGTACCGAGCTTGCTTGCCAACCATAGGTTCAAGTTCCAACCTAGGCATTTGCCTTTCACTTTTGTAAGGTAGAGCAGTGAAATGAGTTCCACTAATTGGGAATGAAGAGGAGTGAGACTACACGCTATAGTAGTCATGAAATTATACGTACTGCCTTGAGGATATAACACTCCGACTGATGGCATGGTCATGGAGATCAGCGCTGCCCCATACCCTCTAAATATTATGGAAGGATACTGTAGATTGACATTCCAAGGGTAAAAATATTCGTTTTCTTTGATGACGACAAATCGGTTAAGGAACCATCATCAGAAAGCCGCCATTGTAACAATCTCTTTCACTCCCTTGCCGTTCTCAGTACTTGCTGTTCCTTGAGTGCAGAATCGCAGACTTCCTAAACTCTACCAACTCCCTACCTTGAAAAAGGCCCGTGGCAAATGGCAACTCGAAGTTGGTATTCGATTGACCATATCGTATGCGCTGTTTAGGAATAAACCGGGATTTATGCTGTTTTCAAGAAATAATCATAGAGTCATATTTAATAGATAATAACAACCATAATACGGGGCCGCATACCAAAGCAAAACAATGAAATGAATTCTCACTAGTCGCTACAATGGCAATGAAGGCTTTGTCTCACATTCTAAAATAGTAGTCTAACTTGGTACTCGTAACCGGGAGCTGACATATCTGATCATGTTTTCAAAGCACAACTGCCAATGTTAGCTTATGGATTGTTCTTAAGCCATTGTACAAGTATATCACCAGTAGAGTGCGGTAGAAATGTTTACTTAACGTTACTTTAAAAAATGGCACTGAATGTTATTGAATTTATCGTTTCAAATTAAAATGAACGGTCGAGATAGCGGAGTCCCCCTGGAGCTTCGGAATAATCCATCGTATGAGCTCTGAATCGACGGAGGAATCGGTTCAGGACATGCTGCTTTTAAATTTGACCAGATCTCTTGCATGCAGTTACAACAAACCTTCCCAAATTTTGGACTGTCAAGGAAATATAGAATTACTGTATTAGCTCCATCCCACGAAGTAGCGTTACTTTTACCTTCCGCTTCATGCGGACATTTGCACTTCTTGCATTTAGCTTCGGTGATCGTTAGGGGACACTCTTCTGGACATTGGCCGCGATGCTGGTCATCCGGACATAACATCTCTGCCGACGATCCACCGGGTCCCGAATGATATGCTTCGTATTCCGTGTATTCATATTCTTCATCTTCTTCATCATCGCCCTGCTCTTGCAAATCGTCGCTGCCTTCGTCATATTTCACGGTCACCCCCGGGGTCACAACGCTCTCACCGGACACACGGAACAGAAACGCTCCCGGAACGTGTCGGTTTGTGTACCTAAAGTCCACTAATTAGACATTCTGAAATTCTGCAGGTCACTTTTCTTACTGGTATATATGAAGAAGAATATCTTCGGGTTTCGAGGTTCCAAGCGGTTGTAAAGGATTAAACGGAGCATCAGCGCCGGACTTCTTAACAAACCCCAGTTGAGCGTAAACCGGATCGTTTAGCGGAAACTTCTCTTTCGAAACCACCCACTCGATTTCATTATCGGCGTACAGGAACTCTACGTAGGTCGTACTTTCGTTACCACTAACCACCAATTGAAACGAGTTTCGCTAAAATTCATCAGCTTCAGTAGCAAAGAAAAACAGTTGTAAAAAAAGTAACGCTGCTCCAAACAGAAACGTTTGTTAGTAAAATACAGCATACAATATACCGAGCATAAACCTTTGTAACATATCATGACAATACCGTAACGTTTAACGGAAGCGTTTTAAGCATGGTTTTCACCACTGAATACCATGTTCTGCGAATACCGAGATGATCGATTGGTTCAATACAGGCTCTATTTTACGTCACTGGAAACTGAATGTATGAATTCATGTGTTTAATCTCCTCATATGCTTTGAAGAAATGTCTGGAAAATCCGGTCGTCAAGGAGTTATGCCTTATCTGACATAGTTTAATGTTGAAACAATAGCATACGAGGAGTATCATTTGTTGAAACATCCTTCGTAGTGGGCGCGAGGAGGCTCCAGTGCAAAACATCGCATGTGACACTACGACCGTTTACATGCCATGGGTCCGTCCCCATCTTAAACCACAGCACCCGCAGCTTAGGCAGTTAGGAGAAGGAGATGTGGCAGTACGCAGTGAATTTCGATTTTGAACGAGTTATCTGTTGCTTGAAGAAGCATCAAACATTTGGGTACGTGTGCCAAAATCGGTTAATACGCGAACTATACTGTTAGCTCAGTTTTGGAGGAGCATTAAGTCAATCAGTCAATCCATCAATCAATTTTATGTACTTCATCAGCTGTAGGTGCTATCAGCATGAAATGTTCTGGTCAAAGACTACAAAAAAATACGTACAGAGTGCGGAAGGTAATTCGAAAAGACTAGATTCTATTAAAAACATTCTATATCTAGCATTTCATTGTTAAGCTATTTAAAATAAAGTTACGCATAAGCTACCGTTATGAGTTTATTAGGAAACCTTCGGCGTTCGAATCCACATGTTAACGCTTTACGAAGTCCTATATGGAGTCTCCGCTCCTGAAGCATGATCATGTTATTATTGTAGCCAATCAAATCATTTATAAAACATCCCACAGCTAAGATGAACTGCTGGGCTCCCACGTATCGACAGAGTCCGCAATTCGGAAACATGGGAGAGGCTTGGTGATGTTAGGCCAAATGGTAATAACAGGAATGATATTAAATCAGTGAATAAAAGAATCTCAGCTTAGATAAAATGTTTACTTGAGATATCAGAGCCCTGAGTAAAAAGGAACGCAATTTCGGTTTCTGAATGCTCCAGAACTGAATCGCCTTTTTTATTGGTCTATATTCGTAATAACCATTTAATGTTATAATAAATCATTCACATTCGCAATAATATGATGGTGTACTGACACATATGATACTAGTTTTCAGTTTGATAGATTAAAAATATAACTATTTGCATACTCCATCATGATGAATAGTTAGTATCTTTATAAAACGAAGGGTTTTGAAACTATGATCTAGAGCTCATGCTTCTTCATGGTGCCTACCCCGCGAATAAGGAACGGCATTATTTGCTACAAAATAACGCTTTGCTGTAAATGAACTTCCTGACGGTAAACAAAGTAACCTGGTAGACCACCCACGTCTGGAACGAATGGCGGTCTGAGAGTCCGTCCTGAAGGACGAGTGTGAGGCTTTCCTAGCAAGAAGAATGATACACTTTGGCGATGCAGTGTGTATGTTAAGAAACTTCTTAACCCTTGGCAACCTAAGGCAGATTCACCTAAGAAGCGTCAGGAAGCATGTACTAATTTTTCAATAAATGAAGTCCCAAGAGCCGTGGGAGACATGAAAAGTGAAAAGGCTGCTGGAATTTATGAAATCTGTCTTGGGATGTTTACAACTTCAGGACAACAAGGCAGGTTTGGCATTTCTGTGAAAGTGCGATGACCACGGGGAAGGTATATGTTGACTGGAGAACTGTTCAAACAGGGTAATCATATGGACTGTTGCGATTAGTGGGCATCACATGACTGAGTCTCCCGGAAAAAGTCTACGCAAAACTGTCGAAAAGAAAGTATCGCGAAATTGCCAACTCATAAACCCAAGAAGACCATCGTGATTGTCGCTTACGCCGAAAATTCTTTAACGAGATCTTTGGTCTAAGTCATACTGTTTGGTAATCATGGAATTTTGCATATCTGGTTTACATGTACTTTTCAGATCTGGAGAAAGTGCATGACAAAATTTCACGCAACAATCTATGGGCGTGCCTCTAGGCATACAGGACAGATTACTAACTGATACGAATAGTTCAGTAGATGCTGCGTCAGAGTAAATGGAATTAAGCCGACACTTTTCCACGTTGACACTGGTCTCCCGTCCCAGGGCTGCGTTCCGCCCCCTTTCTTGTCTGTGTTGACATGGATGGAATAGTCAGAAGCAGCCAGAGCGATCAGTGTATCAACGTAAGAGATGTGAAGACGAGAAAGTTGTTGTCTGTAGAGGACCATATTTTGTTGGCATCTTCTGAAACTGATCTCCAGATTTCTATAGAAAGGTTCACAGCCGAGTGCGTACGAATGCATCTAAAGCTAAAACCTAATGCTTTCTCGCTGGCCTGCCAGTTTCTGTCCTCAGACCAACGGAGAAACGGCGGAGCAGGTGGAGAAGTTCAGGTATACCTCGAAGTTGTGTTTACTGATGATGGAAAATTTGAGGTAGAGGTCGACGGCGGATTGGAATTGCCTGCGACGTTCTGCGCAAACTAGCCCGAACCGTAGGCTGTGAGACCGAAGATTAAGCTGTCCGTATTCAAGTCGATCTTCACCTACGGTCACGAGTCGTGACATGTCAGGTTACTGACTAGGCCGGTTTGGCGCCTTTTCATGAAGTTGATGGTGCGGCGCTGATCTCCGTTCTATGTCAACTGTCATAGGTGCCTAATGCTTTTGAATACAGAGTGTACAACTATGTGGCAAGTGCACGTTATAGTCTCCTGTTTTCTTCCCATAGAATGGTACTCATTTTGCAAGCATGGAAGGAAGAAGGGCGAGTGACATCAAGTCGAGTGGAAGGTTATGAGTGAAAAATTTCGATCCCGGATACGAGCGGCTGAAATGGGATTTGTGAGACGAATCGTGGCCTCGTGCGCCTCGACATGGTCCGGAGTACAGAAGTCTGAGATTGCCTCGGTTAGAGTTGCTGCTTGTCCAAATTGAGAGGTTACAGCTGCGATAGTTTGGGCATGTATCCAGAAAAGGAGGCGAAACAGCTACCAGCCTGTCAAACCAACCGACTGAACACCATGAAAACGACCAAAACTGACATGGGTCAAGAGTCTCGACAGACTCTATGCAAGTTTCAGGTCACCTTTTGCCGAAGTTCAAACGCGTTTAGCGGGTTAGCTTTGTTTAGTAGTTACGGACCTGCATTCCTAAATTCATAATTTATAAGTTTTCAAATAAGTGAGGCAAATCTTCTCTCCCTGATACTCAAACAATTGGATCAAGTTCTTCCTTAAATGCGCATGCCGACTGAATATCTACAAGTACAAAATCGATTTTGTCACTTTCTCACTCTGCAAATTCTGTCCGTACTCTCTGTTGATAATCAGTGATAATTAAAATTTTCTCAATTTCATAAGATATGGAAACGAGCCATTTGTAGTTCTTTGCCGGTAATTCAATTTATTTTGCTACTTATCGAAAATGTGCAGCAAGATAAAATCACTTGACATATTTTTACAAACCGTAACACTTAAAAAGAGAACATGAAAAATTACCGTTGAAGGGTTATGCCAAAAGAAAATCATCAGTGAAAACGATACTTTCCAAGCATAATTTTGCTGTTCACTGTTATGCTCTGCCTAGAAATGGAAGTTGGAATTGGAATTACTGTAAACAGGACTATTTTATCTTGTTTTCTCGTGCTGTCAACCATGGAATGAGAAGATCTATCACCTTCAAGTCATCTACGGCACGGTATTGGTATGAGCCTTAGAAACTGTTTAATATACTCTTACTTATTCATAATGGCAGAAATCTGTAGCCGATCACACTTAATCCGTCACCTGGTCTAGCGTCGTCCCGTAATAACTCGCATTTACCGTTTTCAATTACGTCATCGGCTAAACGATTCGAAGGAGGAGTTTAAAGCAATAACGTCGTAAGGCAAGAGTCTCACATCAAGGAAACCTCAGTAGATTTATGGCTGTATTTTAACAAGTGCCGAAGGTAATACACGAACGAGCTTCATGAAGGCCGTTGAAGCCATAT